GCATCACAAGGACTGTGCATACACTAGGGCGTCCGTAGTGTAGGATAAGCATTGGTACAAGGTATAAGGAGTAGAGTGTCTTGAGGAAATAGCCGGCTTATGGTTATGGCAAATCTGGAGGTAAATTTACCCCCCGCTTATGTATGCCTTGAGCCGGAACGAGGGGTAAGCATCACAAGGGCTGTGCATACGCTAGGGCGTCCGTAGTGTAGGATAAGCACTGGTAAAAGGTATCAGGAATAGACTGTCTTGGGGAAATAGCCGGTGTATGGTTATAGCAAACCTGGGTGGTAAATTTACCACCCACTTATGCATGCATTAGGTTAGAAATAGGGGTAAAGAACTTGTAACAGTGAAGTACAAGTCCTATGCAGCAAGCAGCAGCCAGCAGCAGCAGCAGCAGCCAGCAGCCAGCAGCAACCACCAACCAGCAGCCAGCCAGCAGCACCACGCAGCAGCAGCGCAGCACCAAGCCGCAGCAGCAGCAGCAGTAGCAAGCAGCAAGCAGCAGCAGCAGCAAGCAGCAAGCAGCAGCAGCAGCAGCGGCGTCGTCAGCAACAGCAGCAGCAGCACCAAGCCGCAACAAGTAGCAAAGCAGCAGCTACAAAAGCGGCAACCTCAGGCAGCAGCAAGCAGCAGAGCGGCAGCAGCAGCACCGTTTACACCCAACCAACCACGTTCACACGTTCAACCAACCCCCGCGACACGGCGCAGCTGGGAGTTGAACCGCGGGGGGGGGGTTAGCTTGATATATCAATCTTTAAGGCACGCAGCCCCTCCCACCACAACATTGCTAAAGCAAAGAAGAACTCAGCTAGCATGCTAGCTTTCGTGACCATGGCCTTGACCCCATTTGACCCAGTCTGGTGACCGAATGTTGTGCGTAATATGTGCTTCTGCGTCACCCTTCCCTCAAGAACAAAGTCCAGCTGACTCTTTCAGCTCGACTGGCCAGCCGAGAAATCAACGCAATGATATTCATCCCAGGAGTATCCAATGGGTGCCCAATGGAGATCCCAAAGTCCCTATATCAGTACTGTAGGGTAGTCCATTGGACACCCTTGGATGCTCCTGGTCTATACCAAGTTAATTTCAACCCGGACCGCTGTCCGTGTCCGTGCCCTATCTGATAGGGCTGGGGAGCAAATGCTGCAGGGGCACCGGTCATGGAGATCGGTCAAACATGGCTGTCACTATTTTAGTTTTTTTTGGTCGGATGCACTGCAATATGTAATCTGGTCAAACAGCCAAACATGGAAGCCTCAACATCTAAGAATCTAAGGTGAGATTCGTGGAGTGTTCCTTTCTTGGAAGGTTTGGGAGCCCCTTTGTTGAGACATGTTGAGACAAGCTCGACTGTTGGGTGAAGTCTGGCAAGCTTCTCTGGCGTACAATGTGCTTGATTTCTTGCCAAGGGCAATCAAGGTGCTTCTCACTCACCTGCGTCCGTATCGAGTTAGTTCCTTCAAGCCATCTGCGGCAATGAACACACAAACAGACATTTTCGACTGGCTTGATGAAAACTCGATGGTTGAACGAAACCCCCCTGCTTCATCCTGCTTCAGGCCTTTTGTTGTTCGTGCCCCGTGGTTTTCCAAATGTGTCTTGGCAATCCTTGGCATGATTGAACCGCCGTTCTTGGGCCTGCTTCGGTTGGTGGCTTAAATGATACGTGCCACCGCAACGACACCAGAGCATCAAGCTTCAACAAAAGTGCTGCCAACTTTTTATATACAGTAAATCAAAAGTTGTTAGAAGCATTGCAAGGCTTATTTAGAAGCATTGCAAGGGTTATCAAATTGACTTGTCTAGTGGAAGGGTACTAAGTCAGTGTGTTCCAGATCGGCCATCTCCGCAAACAGTGAGGCTCAGCTTTTTGCACCCAAAATTGCCGTAGGCCATTGCCGTAGGCCCACAGCCTGGCCAAAGGTGTCTTTATGAATTGTGTTTGTATGAATTTATCTTGATCTCTACTTGAACCTAAACTCTAACTGTGAAGATGTGGAAACACGAAAGTAACCACACCTTGCGTATGCGAC